ATGCCTTAAAATTTTTATTCCAATTATTAATGAAACATTCATTAAAGTCTTTACCTGAATATTAATCCAAGAATTCTATCACGACAAAAATCCAGAAAATTTATATAACGAAGGAATTCTTATAGTTGAGTATAATTACAAAAGATAACATCAGGAAATTCTTTACAGAATTCTGGAAATAGTTTCAATTGTCATTATTTTTAAGCAATATTTCTATTTTCTTTTTCGCAATAATTATTCTGCTTCCACTAAATGTGCTTATTTAATGTTAAAGTCCGGTTAATTCATCATTTCTAGGAGTTTTCTTTGAGATTTTTCATCGAGCTTTTTTGTATTTGCACGTACTGGCAATATTTCCTCTTTAAAATTCTTCTACATCTTGAAATTTTTCTATTGTTGATCAAATATATGTTATTTTATCGTCAAATAACTTCTAATAAAATATAATAATTTCGAAATAAAACTTAAAATCTAATCCACGGTATTATTATAAATGAATTGTTTGATTTATTTGATTCATTGCATTAATAACCTGTAATGGAGCTATTTTCAACTGTGACAGGAGTAATAAAATAATAATTAATTAATGAGGACAGAGAGAGAGAGAGGCTGAAGTTTTTCTCCAAAAACTATTCTAAAATTGTATGATCTTTTATTTATTTCATGCTCAAATAGTTTCGTTAATTAGTATGAAAACAAAAAAAAAATAGCTGTGTCATTACCACTTTCTATCACCATTTGATTAAAAAAGTGGAGAAAAATTTCTTCTCGATTATTTTTTTGAAATTACATCGACAACGAAATGCTAATCGCCTTCCATATTTAACATATTTCAAATATAAATAAGGAAACATAATGTGTGGTAAAATCGTTCTTCAAACATTAAGAAACTTGCTGACTTAACTAGACAAACACCCTCAACAGCAGTTCAAGGATTCTTCAAATCTTCGACGAGCAAACATCTCGCCAAGTGGAGAGCGTGTTGGCGAGTTTTTCTCCAAACTCGCATGCTGCCATCTATCGGAGAAACATGACAATCCGCCTCTTTGTGCGGTAGGAGTTATTTTTAGCTCTTTCTCCTATGAACGTGAAGACGAAGACAGAAAGAGAAAAGTCAAATGTTGTTTTAACTGCCGGGTCTCTTACGCAGGGCAGTAAACAGTTGAAGGACTCGATGTTTTCCTACTTAAGAGTAACTTTTTAAGCAGTATTAGAAACAAAAAGAAATGAGGGTATGGACTTACTAAAAATATGAAATTTGTTTGTCTTAGGTTCCTTTTTTAATGTGTGTTAAAGGTCACATCAGTTTTTGAAAAAGCTAAAACAATGTAGTTGTTGTGTATGCATTACTTTTGGGGGGGGGGGAATAAGAATTAGGAGTGTTAGTAATTAGTACTTTTAATTTCAAAAAGCAAGCTTGATGTTAAAAATTTTAATTGATTTTTTTTAGTTTAAAAAGAGGATACATATTGTTATTAAACAAAAGGATAAATTCATAAAAGTAATGATAACATCAATTGTTTTTAAAAATATATAGATAGTAAATAAATTTATAACTTGACTAAACTCAGTGGTGCAACAGCCCATGAGGGCCAAGGCCCACTGCGCTCAACTCAGTATAAATAAATTTAAATCATGTATAAATTTGAATATATAAGAACTACTATATTTATAATAATTGAAGAAATAATACACGAAATAATACATATCGTGAGCAATATCAAATAAACAATTTTAACAATTTAGAAAATGTTAAAAAAGAAGTTCGCACTTATAAATTAATTTTCTATGGCGATTCAAATATACAAAATTTTATCTGCTCTATAGAAAAAACTATTAAAAGAAAGTCGTTTTATCTGCTATTACAGATAAATAAAAGCCATAGATGATTTCCCATAAAAAGCCTAATCCAGATAATTATTATTTCTGTTTATTTTTTCTCAAACCTATGAATATTAAGCCTGCAAAAGCTCTACAATATTTTTAAAAAATTTATGTCATAGTTTACGAAAGAAATGAAATATTTACACATTTTATTCTAGAATAAATTTAAGAATTACTAAAAGGAAGCAAAAACAATGAATTTTATTTGAAAGGGATTTTAAAAAAATCCCTACACGAGTTAGATTGTCACTTCCGTCCTGCCTTTTGTTTCGTCTTGAACAATAATAGATAATAATAATTTATTTCGTAAAAAACGTAAGATGTAAAATAAAAATGAATGAATCCTTTGTAATAAATAAATTTATGCGAATAGCATTTTACATATACCATCTACTATCACTCGAAGAGTTTGGCAGAGTCCTTAAAAAGCAGATATTGTTTTTAAGCGCCGTCTTCAGTATGGTAGCCGAGCCGTGTAATAGAAATAGAACATTAATAAATAAAAATAGGAAATACAAATTATACTAATGAATATGTTTGTTAAACATAATTTTATTACTAGACGTTTATACCACAAATCAAAATTTACTTCTAAATCATAAAAAATATGAAATCATAATTTTTCAAATCTATTATTTATAAATATCTGTGTTTCAATCACTGTTTACCAAATCAAGTCATTAGGGCTAGTTATTTTTCGCTTAAAATGGACGTATCATTTTTCAAACTGATATAAATAGATCTTTATACACATTTAAGAAATAAATAAAAACTTGCCAACATTGATTTTTTTTAAATAAGACAAAAACAACTTTTATTGCGTATTTGATTATTGAAAAGGATATCAAATATAAGGAGAAGAGAAATAATTCTTAGCTGATATACAAAAACTGTTTAGAGGCATTATTCTTAATGCACTTATTTGGGGGGAAAACCAAATTTAAAACCTTTTCTTGGATAATAAGACAGAGAGAGAGAGAGAGAGAGAGCTGTAGTTTTAATATATATGTATACATTTCATTAATTATTATTACTTCTAAATTTATCTTTGTTTTCTGTGCTCCTTTTGATCTAATACTTTAATGTATTTATAATATCAAGTATCTTTTCCAAAATCCTTAATGCTTTTTCCTTGATCAACTGGTATACTTAACAAGCTAAAAGTCACTTAGGCACTTCAAAAATTCTTTATTATGACTCGAGCTCATGTTCAAAACAGATACTTCGAATTATCAAAGTGGCCGCGGTAGCCGAGTGGTATAGGTATCGGACCGTGGCTTGCTTTGTCACGGGTTCGAGCCCAGTACCACTAAAGACCCGCCGTGTAGGGCAGCGATGCACGTTAAATCTGTCGAGAGCTGAAACGTCCTCCCGTTGGTGTGGTGTGGTAGTTAGGAGAGGGGGGTGCCAGCTCAAGTGTCGTCCACGTCACTTGACCATGGTTCAAAATTACGTGGTCCGTCGCCAAAAGCCCTCGTGTAGCTGAACAGTGCGACGTTAATATTCAATCAATCAATCAATCGAATTATCAAAATATTGTTAAACAGTTCTTACTGCAGTCGTAAATTTTCTCAAAAGGTTGAAAAGGCTTGCAATTAAAAAAATAATGATTTTAGAAAATCTAACTTCCAAGCAACAATTTCATATCGCCCAAATTTTCGGTGATAAATTCACTAAAATTGTATGTTTCTCAAGATAATTCATATAGATTGTAAAAAAATAACTTTTTCCAGAAATTATTCATTAAACTGAAGTGAATTCACTTTTTGAAATATGTGGCTTGCATTTATTTTCTTCTTTATTTTTATTTATTGCCTCTTCGAGTCTAGATTTGGAAAAGTCATTCGTCATATGATTATTTATATGTTTATTGTATACTGTCACAAAAATAAATAAGTTTAATTTGAGGTGACATGGCATTTATATACAACAAATACTTTATTATTTTATTCAATTTTTTTTACACTGTCATTCATTAAGGCTCTCATTTTACAATTTATTAATACACATGACTGAAGAAAGTACATTCATTGTTCACACAGAGCATGTCGACCCAAAAATATTTTTATATTATTTAGCAATAATTTACATTCGTTTTTATCGACAAGTTGTGATATAAGTTGATAAAATATTCTGCATTAAAATTTATTTCATTTATATCAGTTAACTCCGCCATTATTCGAGCATATTTTTTAATAAAAGGGCTTATAAATAAATATAAGTACCGTTCTACGTCTTAAAAATAAAAAAAATTCATCTTTGATGATTCATCAAATTATTACCATCTTTCCAGTCATGAAGTTAATATTGAACTTTTCAAAAAAAAATTACGAAAATGGAACTCAAGATCTCATGACAAAGCTCGGGATGTCAATGAAGTGAAAATGGGTTAAAAACATGCGACGTCATAGTCACATGATGATTGCAATCACGTGTATCTAACCAAACAGTTCATGCACTTCACTGTTGCCAACTTTCGCTATTTACATAAACTTTCTTTTAAAAAGTACTCATTTATCAATTGTAATAAAGCACGTAGAAAGGGCTCTTGATTTTAAAATACGTATAACAAAAGATTTTTTAAAAAATTTGTTAAAGGATCTTCATATTTGGAACACCTTTATCAAATCAAATTTGAAACTTTATCTAAATTTTACAAGTAGATCATCAAATCTAAGACTAATGCCAGCTTTAATTCAATATAGAGCTCGTGATCGTCATGAATTTAGTCCATTGCTTTTTGTACCTCATGGTTCATGCATTCCGGCGTAAAATGATTTATAAATAGATTTGATTGATAAATATATATTTTACTAGTCACATTTCAGAGATATTCATTTTAATTTTTTTCATTCCTACCATTATATAGTTCACACTCTCTCTATAGATATTTATTTAAACATATATATATCTTGTTAAAATTTTCAATTGTTAATAAAATACTTTTTTATTCATCCACTCACGTTCAAATACATTTTGTAAAACTTTTAGTGGATGACATTTGATGTTAATACAGTTTTTTCAAATATTAATTCATTAATTAAATTAAAAAATGAATAAATAATAACAAAAATAATAGTCCTTCACCATATATATACAGGAAAATCTATCTTTGTGTCCCAGCAGCGCAATGAATTGCGCTTTGGACTTCTAATCCACAAGTCGTGGGTTCGAATCCCATCTGGAATGGCCTAATTTCTGAGAATGTGATTTCTTTTTACTATTCTATTTTACTGGAATAATTAAATTTAATCAATGAATAAATAGTAACAAACACAAATATTAGTCCAACACCCTATATAGAAAGGAAAATGAGAAAAATTGCAAGGAAAATCACTTTCTATTTTGCCACTTAATATTGTGATTTTGTCATATGTATATACATAATTATATAAATTGTAATTATTTAATGAAAAGTAACTAAAATAAAATTTTTCTTTGTTTTGACCTAAGTAGGAGTTGACTTAAATTTTTGTATCTTACTAGTTCATCATAATTAGTTCATAATACCTCTAGAAATGCATAATTTGTAGATTTTTACTAAAATAAACATATACTATCAATAGATACTTAGTATATCATCATAAAGTGATATTTTGCATTGTTAGACCTTTTGCAAATGTAAAATATATCTGTGAGTTATGTGCATATTATAGAAAAAGAAACCGTCACACATTTCTGGACAACATGATCACAGTCGGGATATCTTGGAGATTGGATATATCTTCAGAGAACACCCACTATATGTTTTTGTTGTAATTATTAAGTCTCAATGAAAGCTCTTTCCCTCTAAATGTAAGCCAATTATTTTAGATAAAACTACAAGGAAAGGGTTATATTTTTAGAACTGGATTTTTTTCTGAATTAATCCTTTATCATCATCAGTATAAACTGTAGCACACACACAAAGCCAAAATAAGTCAAATATAAAAAAGTAATACTTTTTTACTTATTCTTACATACTTAGCAAAAAGAAAGTGAGAATAAGTAAAACATTGTATAGCAAGAGACAAGTGAAACATTGTATTCAAAAACGAGGGAGATAGTGTCGCCTTTTCACATAAAAAAAAGAAGGAATCTTGATAGCGAACGTTCGACCGTCTTAAATGTAAGACATTTGAAATTATAAAAAAAAAACCAGACATTATTTTAATCTGCATAGTTTTGTAAAGGCATTACCGTGAAGTGCTTTGAAGACGCTACTTTATAACTTTTTTCTAGTATTTATTCGATTAGAGTCAAAACAAACTGACGCTTTCTTTGCTTTTCATTTTTCTTTCTTGGCCGAAAAGCAGGGAGTTGAAACATTTTATTCTCTGGTTGAGAGATACAAGCGTGGGATTACAATGTCTGTTTCTTTTTAGAAAGATTGTTAAATGTCAGGCTCAAACTATTATTTTTCTATGAATGTTAATTCTATTCTGTAACAGAGGTAGGCATTTCATTCATTAAAATGCTCTAAAACGAAGAATGCATATTTGGGGTAAATATTTCCAAGCAAAAAATATTATATTCTATAATGCATCTTTAACAACCGTCTGAATACAGATTTTTTTCAATCAATACTAAAATAAAAAGTTATATTTTTCTGACATTGAAAAATAAGATATCTATATGCTTTGAGTTCCCATTTTTAGTTGAAAAATAACAATTAAAAATTCGTTAGGAAAAATTGGTCTAATTAGGAAGATATAAACTTATTTTCTTAGTGCTTAATTTTTTAACTCAATGAAAGTGAAATATAGACTGTAGTTAAAATTATACTGATATGCTTTTCTAGCTAGAAAGAAAATTATCAAGTTAATAGATAATTGCCTTCACATAAGATTATACAGAGAAAAAAATCTAAATAGAATTAAATTAAAAAGGATAATGTGTGTTAAAATTACTCAGACAATTTTATAGAAATGTAAATTTCCGGCTTAATTAGAAAATGGGAAATCTTTATTACCTAGAAGGTCATATTAAGTGCTTTTGGCATTTTAATAAGGCTACGTTAATTTATTTCAAAATAAATAAGACGGTCATTTAAAAGATTTAAGCTCAAGATAATTAGAGTATACGTACTTCTACTCTTAAAAATTCTTATTGTTAATTGCATTTGTTTTTAAAATTTTCCTGATCTTCTTTAAGTTAAATCTTTATACAATACACATTAAGAAGTTAAAGTACATGTTTCCTTATATTTTTCCTAAATAAAAAATTTAAAAAAAAGACATTTTTTTCATAATTTTTAACATACGTACAATTTAGATTTTTAAAATGTTTTATATATGTAAAATTCTTGTCTTTTAGTAAATTTAAAATTCAGGGGATATTTATGGAGAATAACTGATTTGATTTTGTATATTTTTTTTCAAGCGAATTTTTTCATTGACAAACTAATATTTGTTTTAAGTCTTTATATATAAAAACATTAGAACAAATTTTTATTTGTCTATGCAAAAAAAAAAAAAAAAAAAAAAAAAAAAATTGTTTGCAGAAATTATGTTATAGAAAATATACGTATATATATTAAAGTATATATAATCTATGTATAAGATATTACTTTTTATTCTTTCCTATCTTTTTTTAGATAAATTCCTTTTATTCAGCTATCAGTATTTTTGAAGACATCTATAGCATTCTTTTATTGTTTCTATTGCTCCTGAAAGAAGCCATATGACAAACATGATTCAACTTTTCGTAAGATAATATAAAAGAATATAAATGCTTAACTCTTACAGATCAATAATCGATCAATAAAAAAAAACCCCACATTTTTAAAGAAGTATACAACAGATATTTATACGGAGACATTCTTTTAAAAGCTTTAAGGAATATTCATGAATTTTAAAAAAAGAATTCAGCTAAAAGAAAATGAAAAGGAGAATTAAATCAAAATATATCGAAAGATTTTAAAATTTGTCATTACACTGTTTAATAACGATACATTTTAAGCGATAATCTCAACAAAATTAATGTGTGTGTGTGATTATTGATTCAAATTAATGGAATGCTATTCTTAAAAGCTCTGAATAATTAGATATTTATTAAGTAATACTAAGTAGTTTTTAACATTGCATCTTTTTATTACAGGTAAAAAACAACCACATCTTACAAAAATAGTAAAGGTTAGTGCGTTTCTTGTAAAAACTTTTTTATCATTTTGTAAATATACAACAAAATTATCATTTTGTAAATATACAACAAAATTATCATTTTGTAAATATACAGCTAAACTATCATTTTGTAAATATACAGCAAAACTATCATTTTGTAAATATAAAGCAAAACTATCATTTTGTAAATATACAGCAAAATTATCATTTTGTAAATATATACAGCAAAACTATCATTTTGTAAATATACATTCATCTGGGCTTTTTACATGTAAAAATAGCTTTGGAGATTGTTTCTTATTTTTATTACATCGTTTTTTCTGTATTATTGATTCCCTTTCTTCCATACAGTCCACTTGATCACAAAGACGAATAAATTCCGAATTTTATACAATTATTTAAAAATTTGGGCTTCTAGTTTTTGTGTATAAATTCTTCTCTAAGGCAGTTTAAGGGAAAAGGAAAATTTTTATTTAAATTTCGGTTGTGGGAGAAAATGGTTACTGCTCTTTATTTTGTTCGGTAGCTAACACCGATAGTGGTACGCTGAATCTATATTTAGGCTTAGAACTTGAACTAACTGCATTTGTAGCTTAAATCTTATTCCTCCCATTTATATATGAAGCAGAAAACCATGAAATTAGGAATTTGACCACATCCGTAAGGGATATGATCAATTGGTGGGAGACGTTAAAATAACGTCTCTTCAAGGTCATTTCCCTGATGAAAGTAAGGAATTTGAACAAATCCCTGGTCTGTATCAGTGAAATGATGAAATAATATTGTCAAGAGTTTAAAAGTGTTTATATAACAAATATGGGGCAATGTATTAAACGTAGAAGTTAAGTAATACAACAATAGTCAATGAAATACAAATTATTTATTCGAAACTAATTAACAAATAATTAGAAAATTAGGCTGGTATTTTTTTTGTGTGTAACATCTTTCCTCTGGGTTGTTGGATATTTGTGGGAGTGATTTCGTGGAAAGGGACGAAAATGTGTAGCAGGAAACCGGGGAAGTGCGCGCTGTGGCGTCGATTGACTTGGCCTTTCACCCCCCTTCATAAATTCTTTACTAATGATGACCTGTTTTGGGCAGGGGAGGGCTTACACACTAAAATATCAATCCTTATGTTAATCCTATGGTACTATTTTTTTTAAAGATATGGGGTTGAGAGAGAGAGAGAGAGATATTTGGGGATCGATAGTACTGCCTGTTTGGTTATGAAGTACCAGGCCTCGACCCCCTCCCAGGTGCCTCCCCCTGGACAGCATTTTGTCAATGCAAATCCTAACTGGTTCATTTAATCATTTCACTGAAATAGTTCAGGGATTTGATCAAATCACTTACTTTTATCAGGGAAGTGACCTTGAAGAGAGAGAGACGTTATTTTAACAGCTCCCGTCAATTCATCATATTCCTTATGGATTTGATTAAATTCCTAATTTCGTCATTTCCCTGCGACATATTTACCGAATATAAATCTATTCGTGTATTAGCCAAGCACATTCGTCCTTTCTTCAAAAAGTTACTCAAAATTGAAAACCCGTATACTAGCCGACTTGAAAAAAAAATTCCTGTAAATTTCAAATTTGATGCCTGGTGAGTAAAACGAGTAAGATATTTTCCAACAAAATTGCTGCACAGTAAGACGCCGATGACGATAGCTTTATTTCAGGCAATTTTATTTGAAGCTAAAACTTTTTATAGCTTGTTTCATATGTTATCAAGTACACCAGGGGTTGGCATGTCACATTCGAGTAAAGGGGAGTTGGAAACATCTCTCTCTATACTGACAATGTTAAATTGGCTGTTTTCGATGTACCTTTTCTCAAACTCTGTTATATGTAATTTACATGCTTGAAATTTTTCATACAATTAAATTATACCTTTCTCATTATACTGAAATGAGCTTTTAGCTAATATTGAATTTTTTAATAATTTATGAAATATTTTATCAAACTTTGCAAAATTCGACCATTTTTCACTTAAAAATTTGTAAAAAATAAATTGTGTTTTTTACAAAAAGCTCATTTCAATATATATTAGCCTTCATTATAAATATATCGTAAAAAATGTACATAC